TAAAATACCATAAATTTGAAAGCTAATTCCTTGGCTTAAGCAACATATAAAATAGTCTTTGATAGTGTAGATGCTTCCATATAGATTTTTATGACTAAAATCGTTCAAGTTTTATTTTGTCTATATATATATATTATATATTTTTAACTGTTACACAAATGATCAACACAAGGCAAACAATAATAATTATAATCTGCTCTGCAGACAGTCAGACTTTGTCAAAGACTTTGTTGGAGACTTTAGCCTACTGACATCGAACTTGTTCGCGGACAATTTGCCTGTTCCGTGATGTACAGTTTTCTTCCAGGTCATTTTACGCCTACCCCTACATTGTGTTCCTTAAGGCTTTCGTGTTAGCGCGGTGTGCGTGATGTCATTATAGGATTTACCATATCCATATCTACCATATATGCCATATCCACCATTCGCTTTTATATAACATCGTTTATATTTATTTGGCCTGTGAGCCTCCATAACGCTTCTTTTGTTATCGTTCTGGGCTGCCATATCCGAAGTATATTTCGCAGACAGCGGTTTAAAAATTTTTGTAACTTGGTTTTAGTTTCAGCAGTCACGAGTCAGGTCTCAGAACCAGCTCTCATAGTTATAATCTTATCGAAGCAGGAGCGATTAGAACGGAAGACAGCTTATTGCTTACAGAATCTTTCGTTTTGTAAGTGGACAGTTTACTGCAGTAAAATCTTGTTAAAAACTTTGCTTACCGGTAAAAGACTTTGATTCCCCTTTAGTTATCATAGTCAGATAAGCCTTTTGTAGACATTTTTACAATGATTGCTACTCTCCATTCCATTGGTACCTCTTCAGAGTTTCAGATGTCTCTCAATATGGGACACAGCAGGCTGGTTGTGATGTGAACATACGCTTTAAGGCATTCAGTTGGTATATTTTCTATTCCTGGTAATGTGTTATTTTTTAATGAGCATATAGCTGCCGCAATCTCTTCTCTGCTTGGTGGTTGAGTGCATATATTACATATATTTCCTTTAGGATCTTCTAGAGGCAATATCGAAAACAAATAATGAATAATGAGTGGATTGGTCATATTCTACGTCGTTTTGCAAGAGGTAAGGCTAATTTTAGACTATAATCCACAAGGCAGCATAGGGTCCTAGTGTTTCCGGAACATGTGAAAGTAATAAATTAAAGTAGAGCTATAATTTTTAGGGATAAGCTGAAATTATTTGATTATTTAAATTCTGGTGAAATTTAATACAAATTATATGTTATCTCCTACATTCGCGGAGGAGATTAAAAGATATAGAATATAATATATATTTTAAAAACATATATTAGCATGGAGGAGATAATTATATGTTTTCTCCTCCTTTCGTGAAGAAGATTAAAATATTAAGAATATAATATATGTTTTAAAAACATGCTAATATATATATTACAATAGATAATTAATACACGTGAAAGACGCAATTAATTTATATATCATAATAAAGTTTGAAATTGTAAAAGTTCGTTCATGTCCATTAAACGCCTATAGAAAAAACCGAATATATCTTTATTAATAAATAATTTTTTTTTTGTTCTTGAGCATGAAGAATACAAAATTAATAGAGGCAGATATTAACTGTATTGAACTCTAAGCGAAGTTCGCTCGAGTTATATGGAAAATAGCAATAGTCAAAGAATGACTGTTTTCTTAAAAAATTATAATGAAAAATGACTAATCCATTTTAGTCTACACTCATAGCTAATTGATGTTCAGCTTTATATAGAATGTGAATTTTAAAGTAAATCAGAATTATAACTCTAAAATTAATAAAAATAAATTTCATTATACACTTTAATTATAAAAAGTGCTGTTAACAGTTTTAAAAAATTATTGATAATTATATGAATAATTTTATGTGAAAATCTGAAAATATTATAGCACTTTCAATCGAGTCCCCTTGTTTTGCAAATTTGAAAATATCTCGCAGATAACTGCTGTTAGCAATCAGCACGTTATCAGTAAGCCAAGTAAGTTTAAAAAATTTACTAAAAACATTAAAGGGTTCATATGAAGCTCCAAATATCATAAACAGATTGTAGATACAATTAAATCATAAAAAAGATACCGTGTTAAAGATAAAAAAATGATTATTGCCCTAATTTGAAATATATCACATATAACATTATGGTGCAATAGAGATAAATAAAAAAGAAAATAGATTAGATTACATATATTTTGATCTAATTTATTATCGATGGATTATTGTATTGAATAAAATGAGCGATTATTACAACAATTATTTAGCAGAGATTTCACGATTAATTATATTTTAATAAACTATTAACAAAACCCATTTTTATCTGTGTACAAGGGAAATTGTAATCGTTGAATTATGCCATCGAGTACTGATAGAAGCACAAAGTACATAAAAATTGTGTATTATCCTGAACTTAATTTTACCATGATCCTTCACAATAATCTTATAGACTTTTTGTTTCTTTAGAACTTCTTCAAAAATTTATTTGCACTGTACTCATGCAAAAAATTTATTGGTAAAAAATTGGAACTACAGCTCAAAATTATACATTTGATGTACATAACTGCACTTAGACCAATTTTCATCTGTGTTTCTCCTGTTGGGTGTACATTATATACAAAATAATTTAATCCATGTGTTGTTGAAAACCCCAAATATTGGTTGACGTTTCTCATAATGAATAGCATAAAGACTACATTATCGTAGACTACTTATAAAAATATAAAACTTCTTCAGGCTAAACATTTCGGCTGCTCTATTTGCGGTGAAACTATTCTCCAGCAACAACAAATTTGGAACAACCGAATCAAGACCATTTTTTTATTTTACATGAGTTCACATCTTTTGATGACAGACATAAAATTTTAATTCCTACTAGGTAAGATTGAAACACTATAATATGACGAATCGATTATTATCTACATGGATGACTCAAAACTAGGTCCATTCTCTTCAAACTACCGAATTATAACATCGTTTTTTAAGTTGAGGTAAAAATATTTCTGAACAATAGTAAAATGTTGGTGTAAATTTTTACGGATAGCCAAGCTGTCAAGTAATTACAACATCAAGGGCTACATTGTCGTTCCACTCATCTCACAATGTGCTAAATGAAGCATACAAATATTATTTTATTTGCGTTCCAAGGCACATTGACATAATGAGAAATTTTAAAGTTATTAAGCCGTCCAAATACAACACTACTCTTTTGGAAAATCCGTGCAAATTCATGACGAGCGGATTAGCAGGTGGAAAAAAGCTACCACACATTAATGTAACATTCACAGAAAATATGTCACGAAAGAATAAGAAATCTTTTAAAAGGTAGGGACTTGAGTAACAAGCTATTTAGGTGAAGACATATCACTGTCCGGTTTATATGGTTTGTCATCAGAGTAAAAATTAAATTCCTAGCAGATTTATTTTTTTTAGGAAAAAGAAAATAATGACTGTACTCAATTCATTGCAAAAATCTATTTCTAAAAAAGAAATGTTATTGTTCAGTAGAATTAACTAATATGAGGAATTTTTTTTTTTAACGCTATATGACGATATAGCATACTTCTTGAGATATCGGGGCTTAATCATGTAAACTTTGTACAGTGATTATAATAAAAAAACACACACCCAAAAAACAATTAGCAGAAGAGCAGATGGTCAGATATAGCATACTTCTGGAGATATCGGAGCTTAATCATGTAAACTTTGAACAGTGAATATAATAAAAAAAACACACACACACTTGAGAAACAAAAAGCAGACATGCAGATGGTCAGATATCGCATCTATTTGTTGTTGGTGACTTTTATGTAAAAGTTATAGTTTCTCAAAAACTCAACTATACTGTTATACTGTAGCATAGTGAAAAAATTTTCTTAAAAATATGGTTTTTGTCATACAGGTATTCCAGGAAAATCAAAATTGTGGCGTTAGATCTCAGAATTTCATTCGGAAACTAAATAGTAGTAGTAGTAGAATTTTATCTTTATTTTTTTATGTATAAATTTTGTTGTATTAGAAAGTGATTTATAAACTGGTATAATTTTATATTATTTATAAAGCTTACAGATATCTGCCGAGAAAACCAAAGATATAAAAAAAAAATATTCAAAAAATAAACAATATGACATTAACTTCATAGTCGTCTGTCGCAGGTGTTGGATTTATATAAATTTACTTTCTAGCTTAAAACTAGTCATAATTCAAAAATGAAAGTATCAAGAATTTAAATTAATCGCTTATATTTTAAATTTTAATTAAAAAGTATTCCGCATTTCTTTATTATTATCCTTCTGTATTTCAAAGCACTCTTCCACTAAAGATTCTCTTTCAAAACAAACTCGTCTAAAAGACCCTAATATAGAACAACGGCCTAAGAAGTGCTGTATGCTTTCCGTTTCATTGAGGTTGCACAATGTGCAGTTTCTATTGACCTTACCCTGTAAATAGATTAAGTCGCATCTCGCCTTAAGTCGCATCTCACATTATGCTCGCACGACTGAAGTTTTAAACTAAAGATATATCTAATTCAAATTATAAGTATATGGGTATATATATATTAGTCTGATAGAGTTACTAATCCCAACACTGATTAAATTTTCTAATAAAATTGTGTGAGTAACTATACTAACATAAAGGCATAAGGTCTGGTCAGTGAGAAAATCAAATATAAATTGTTATTATGATTGTGTTAATAAATAATGTTAATAAAATTTTATATTATTTAATTTTTACTATTCTTGTTGTCCAGTACAATAAAAATCTTCATGATCTTTATTAGCGCGATAAAGAGTTTCAGCTATTTTACGCAGGTTATCAAATGATCAGGGATCTTCACATTTGCTATTGGTTCCAAGTTTTTAACCAACATTGAAAGCAACAACAAATGTGATTGGTAATTGACAATCGTCTGATCGCTAGCGTAACATGGCACTTACAGAACAATCATCATATGATTGTAACATATAAAACAAAGATATATAAAATAATGACAAATAGTATGAAATTTATTGATTTACAGATGGATCGACAAATTTATACTAAATATGAAGAGTTTCACTTTCATGCGGTGGATTACATAGTGTTTGCGATTATGATATCTGTGTCCACTGGGACTGGTATTTATTTTGGATACTTCAAGTAAACGTGATTTTTTAATTGTTTTATTAACTTATTAGAAAAATCTAATTGATAGAAAACAGTTGCCGGATGATCCAATGATTGACTCAGAAGGTCGAAAAAAAACAGATTTCGGTTCAACAAAAATGAATGAATACCTATTGGGCTCAAGAAATTTGAAAATTTTTCCAGTGGCAATGAGTTTGGTCGGTAGGTAAGTTTTTTTTTTCTATTGAGACATAATAGTTCTCACATAAATTTATATCATACATTCACAGTTATATATCTGGTGTGACGATACTTGGCACTGCCTCGGAAATATATAATTTTGGAACACAATATTGGATAGTAGTGATACCTATAGTTCTTATGGCATTTACGGTTTCAAAAATCTATTTACCAGTATTTGCTACAGTTGGCGTTGGTTCATCATATGAGGTAAGCTTTTTGAATTTTTTATTACACCACTTGTGGATTAAGTATATGGTTTATGACGTGTTTTTTTTACTAGGAACAAGCGTTATCGAAATTTTCTAGTTACTACTTGGCACTATTTCTGTTTATTTTTAGTATTAGCTTGTCTGGTATTAACAATCTTTTTTTACTATTTATTTGCTTTTGCATCAGTCAACCATTTATAAAAACAAAAATTAATTTAAAAGGTTGCGTTATGCGAATGGACTTTGAGCTCATTGAGATATCAGAAAGTTTGACATGTGCCCTCGTATACGTTTAAACATAAATTTTTTTTATTCTAACTTAATGATCGTCGTTAACAATTAATCAGTTTTGTTCATTCTCGTCTAATTTATGACATATGATTGTGTTTTTTTGTTGAGCTTTTGATTCTCTTAATTGAATGTTTGTTTTGCTTTAGATAAATTAGAACAAAATATTTTATTTATCAAAAAAATATGATAAAATAAACCATAAAGTACTTGCCACATAGCTAGAAGCAGGGGGTTCTTGAGGAACTAAGACATCCCGACTTTAATCCAAATATAATATAAATATAAATGCTAAGGCAACATTTTAATTTTATATATTTTATTCTTACTTCCGAAATTTTTACTGTTTACTTTTGGCGAAGTTAGCTAGCACTTTTACTTATGTACATATGTATATAGGCAAGGCTCCTGGTAGTCAGAAAATTTTTTCAAAAGTGCCATTACGGAATTCAGTTTACCATTCAGTCTTGTCATAATATATTAATAAGAAATAATCTTATGCATACAGAAACGCTTTATTTGGGGGGTGGGGTGTTAATATGTATAAGAAAAATATTAATTATATAATTAAACATCATCAGCTGTTTTGATCTATTTTAACAAGTAATGATAAGTGAATCCATTGAATCCATTAAAAATGTGAGAGTGAGCATTGGAGAAGTCTTGATTAGATATATTTTTTTAAACAACAAATATAACATTTAATATTACTATAACTAACGTTGTATTTTATTAAACAATAATTATTTTATTTTTTATTTTTACTGTAAATAAATTTTAATTTATTACTTTACAGTACCTGGAGATGAGATTCAATTCGCACATACGAAGTATGATATCATTTATGTTTGTATTAGACGAGGTAAGTTATGCAGAGTAGTTAATTGAAATTTCGTATTTATATATATTATCTTTAATTTTTAGATATTTTTTTTACCAATTATAATCTATGTACCTGCGATCGCTTTCAATCAAGGTAAGTAATACAGAAAACTTAACAAGTTGGTAATGTCTATTTTACATATAATGTATAAAATTATCGTTTCAGTATCTGGGATTAACGTGCATGTGATCTGCGGAATAATATGTCTAGTCTGTGTGTTCTACACACTTGTTGTAGGTATCCTTCGATTAACTAAGTATATATTCATATTTATTCTAATACTATTTGATGCGATTTTCATATATTTTATAGGGTGGCATCAAAGCTGTGGTGCATACAGATGCCTGGCAAATATTAGTGATGTTTATTTCTGTATTGGCGGTAGTAATATTGGGTTCTGTTGCGAGTGGCGGTCCAGTGAAAGTATTTGAGGAAGCTAATAAAGGTGGCCGCATTATATTTTTTAAGTGAGTTTATTTCAATGAACATATATTTTATTTTAAAATATATTGGATTCACTATTCCAGCATAAATCCATCAATGTTCGAACGTCAGACAGTTTGGGGCATATTAATAGGTGGCTTTTGCTATTGGACCTCTTTTAATTCTGTTAATCAAACGATGGTGCAACGCTATATGTCTTTGTCAACATTAAAGAAAGCTCAGTGGTCAATTTTCGTTTTTAGTGGAGGCATTATCTTGTTCATATCTGTGTGCTGTTATGCTGGTCTACTTGTTTATGACTTTTACAAAAGGTGCGATCCTTTAACTGCTGGTCTAATACATGTAATTACAAAATAGAAATATGTATGCAATTCAACGATAATATAAAATAAAACAAATATATTTTTTAGAATGATGATCAATTATTACCGGTATATGTTATGCAAACGGTTGGACATCTACACGGTGTACCAGGTCTATTTATTGCCGGTGTTTTTGGAGCTGCATTAAGTTCACTTTCAGTTGTATTAAACTCGACGGCATTAGTATTTTTGGAAGATATTGTAAAAGGCTGTTTAAAACAACAAATATCAGAAAAGATTTCAACTATTATTGTAAAAAGTAGTATAATTTTTTTAGGATTAATAGCATTATCATTAGTATTTGTGCTGGAAAAACTTAGCGGGATACTAAGCGTAGCTACATCTGTAACAGCTATAGCCGCTGGCACATCGTTTGGTGTGTTTTCCTTAGGTATGCTAATCCCATGGGCGAATTCAAAAGGCGCGATAGCTGGAGCGGTTGCGGGAGCTTTAATGTCTGGCTGGATTTCATTTGGTACACAAATGGCTGTGGCATTTCATCATTTATCACCGCACGATTTGCCAATATCTGTTGAGGAGTGTCCATCTAACGTAACGATAACAAGAATGCCATCCATTGATGAGACAAATATTTTTCCATTATATCGATTATCATTTCATTGGATAAATCCAATTGGAGTGCTAACGACCATAGGAATTGGTACAATAGCTTCCTTCTTAACAGGAGCAACAACTATTAAAAAATTGGATGCTGATCTATTGTCTCCAATTATACACAGGTAAGATTGATATAAATTATTATTAATTTGTATTAGCTTTTCAATTATAGAATATTATATTTTCTTTATATTAGATAAACTATATATATACTTAATGCTAATTAATGCCTCATATATATGAATATTGTCAGATTTTTTATGCAAAGTTATTATTCGTCATACTTAACAGATTTTATTCAGGAACCGTAACAGTAGCCATTAAAAATATAAAAATCACCTTAAAATTGTTATCATTCGCAAAAACCACATTTTTATTATATTTTCGTTTTTAATTATATCAGGCAGGCCAGTGTGAGTTATATTTTATTTTCAAATAAAGGAGTTATTCTTGCTTTTTATATTTATAAGGCAAAAATAACAGTTATTTGTGCGTTTTAAAATAAAAAGCAGTGTGTACGAGTTATTTCTGCGTGAAAAAATAAAACGCATATGATAATAATTATTTTTGATAAATATAATTTATAGCAAATTTAATTATTATTTTTTGAGTTTTGTTTTAAAACGTTCATATATAAAATATTAAGGTTGAAAGCTGTGAGAATGATAACTATATACTTAAATATGAATTTAGACAACTTTTTGTTGCTGCTTTTTTTCTTAAAATTTTTTTTTTGGTCCCTGATTTTATTTATCAGAATATATTTTAGCTTATATTTATTTTAGCTTTATTTCTTAGGTGTAGAATATGGGTAATTTTTTTGCAAACAGGACAGATTTTCACAAAAATTGATTATTACCTCTGATTTGGTTGAAATTTGTTTTTTAACAGCTTCCTTAATAAAATTAAAGAATCCGTATATCGAAAACGAATATTTATTTTTTTTTTTTTTTTGGAAATACTGATCTATGGAGTTTGGAGATTTTACATTTTAGAGTAATGTTTTATCTCAAGCTCTGTAAGTGATAAAGATTTGAAGACATTTTTTCGACATTTTAAAAATTTAATTAAACATTTTAAATAAAATAAAATAATTTATATAAACTTAATTGTTTTTTTTTTAATTATATATCGATAATTTAAATTTTTCATTTAGATTTATTATTAAATTTTACCTTAGTTTTAGCATTAGTTTTAGAATTTTTTTTTTTTTTGAAAAATTCATTTATTAATTAATTTCCGTTAAATGCAATTTCGAAAAAGATTTTACACAAATATTTTATTTTTTATTTTTGATTCGCATTTATTATTAAACTTTATTTAAAAATCGAAGTAAATCAGACTGTAATAACTTTAGATGTATTTTTAAAAAATTAATTAATTGAAAAGTATATAATAAAATATTTATTTCTTTTAACTGCTATTCGTTATATATGTTTGCTAATATTTTTACTTTTTTAATTTTAAGTTCGTTTTTATATATATTTGAAATTGAGCACAATAAAAATTAATAAACAATTTCATCAAAGGTTATAGTTTAAAATAGCTCGAGTAGTTGGAACCAATCGTAGTTTTAATCATCAGTCAATTTTTTATTATTTGGCATTATATTTTAAAAACAATAAACAATATATAAATTTCTATATTTACACTCGACCTTGAAAGAAACAGTTTCAAAAAAAATTTTTTTCTGTTAACTTTGTATAACTTTAAATTTTTAAATATATATTACTTATTTAAAATTTTTTAAAATAATACATTATTAATATTAAATTGAATTTTTTATTTTTCAGATATCTTCCAAAAGAGTGTTTCCTCTCTAGAGAAAGAGGAGCTGGAGACGTAAGTGGTGAGAATAATATGCAAACGTTAACTCATTTATTACATGAACACAATGGTGAAAGCGATGATCAAAAGGACAAATATTAAGTGAAAAACTTAGTTTTAATAAAATTAAAATATTTTTACATTAACCAACTAGCAAAGTTAAAAGTGGATTTATCTTCTATTAAGAAAATTGCAGACTTTGCCATTTTGATATAATTATATATAAAAAACGTATATATATATACATATTTATATATATATGCTTAGGTTATTTTTATCATTATATAATTTTGTTTTTTAATAAGCATAATAGTGCTAGTATTCATTTTTGTTGTAAGTATATACATAAAATAATAAATGCTAAAACAGCATTTTTATCATTATAATCGGTTCTTGTATTTTATTGATTTATATCATATTAATCAAGACCAATATATATATATATATAATGAATACATAACACCAGTTCAAGGTGTAAATTAGATGTATGTTACTTAATTATAATGATTAAATGTTTCTTGGAAAGGTAGCAAGTTTTATATTAATGCAAACGGTCAAGCATTTATTCATTCAAGTAGCTAATATATAATAATATTTCCATAAAGTACGAGTTATAAATATACGTTATGAATAGCATATGTAATTTAAATTATGTAACTAATATAAAATAAATTAAAGAGCAATTTAATACAACAGAAAGCTTAGCTCTATTTTAAGACATTTCTTTTATTTTCTGTACTACAATAGAAGTTAAAATTATATGATTATATGATTTAAATGACTGTGATAAAATAATATATAACTATGTATTATGGTATTCGGGTTTGCCACAGCTATTGTTACTTATATAAACCAATAAAAACAAAAAATATTCTTGAAAATATAGTTTCATTTATTTTATTTTTATCATAGACAAAAATTATTGCAAACATTCGAATAAAGTAATAATTATAATTTTATTACTGTTCTATATTCTTCATTCTGAGATTTAAAGTATTCTTAAACTATAAATACAATTACTTAAATTTTGAAAAACTTAACTCTTTTTTTTTAAATTAATTTATATAAATTCTTATTAGTTTCATTTATTTTATTTTTATCATAGACAATTATTATATACATTACAATTAAGTAATAATTGTGATATTATTACTGTTCTACATTCTTCATTCTGAGATTTAAAGCATTCTTAAATTATAAATACAATTACTTAAATTTTGAAAAACTTAACTCTTTATTTTTAAATTAATTTATATAAATTCTTATTAGTTTCATTTATTTTATTTTTATCATAGACAAAAATTATTGCACACATTCGAATTAAGTAATAATTCAATTTTATTACTGTTCTACATTCTTCATTCTGAGATTTAAGGAAGTCGTAAATTAAAAATAGAATCATCTAAATTTTGAAAAACTTAACTCTTTTTTTTTAAATTAATTTATATAAATTCTTATTAGTTTCATTTATTTTATTTTTATCATAGACAAAAATTATTGCACACATTCGAATTAAGTAATAATTTAATTTTATTACTGTTCTACATTCTTCATTCTGAGATTTAAGGAAGTCGTAAATTAAAAATAGAATCATCTAAATTTTGAAAAACTTAACTCTTTTTTTTGAAATAAGTTTGTATAAATTTCTTAATTTTATATAGTAATACTGCTACATAAATTATCATAAGCACTACAAATACACTAAAAATAATGTTTTGCTTGAGCATATTGCATTTTGCCACTTTATAGTCATCGGTAGTAAAGGAAGCCTAAAACAAGAAAAATAGTTAAGAAGTTTATTTAAAAAATATTTATATTACATACAGTACAAGCTTGATAATATATGGGAAAAATATTTGAGTACATGCTTTAACACTATATTATTGTTTAAAAAATTTTGTAGAAACTAATTTAAATATTCTATTCCTAAAATATTGATAGTCTTTAACAAATGTGCGCAGAAAATTTCTGATTTTTTTTTTGCTAAAGTCTTGCAATAAGCGCATCCATTTATACATATATAATTTTGTAAAAAGAACAAAATAACGACATGCATTTTAATTTTGCAGTGAACCTGAATGTACAAGTATTCTTTCATATGAAGTAGCAATTTCTCTTTATAGTTTAAAATGATTACATATTACCTAAACTGCAACATATTGTGAGTTTAGTGTGGATTAAAATACGTAGAAAATTCAGTTTACTGAATTCATATAACCAAAGTCGTATTGTATTAAAACCACACAAAGATAATTACCAGTAAAAAGCTGGGATTTATATTATTTCTCCAATTAAATGAAGCGACTGTATATTCTTCAATGCCAAGACTGTTTATGCTACGACAAAAATAATGACTATGTCCTGCAAAAGCCAATCTTGGTTGTAATAATTTTCCTGTAAAAGTATATATATTAGAAATTTAGTGTACAATTACTGATTTTACTTAAATGAATTATTACCAAGTAAAACGGTTGAGTTTTTCGATAATACCTCCCAATTTTCTCGATATCTTTCAAATTTTTGCACTTCATATTCTTTACAGGCAGCATCTGAAATTCTATAAGTGGGAAAGTGCTGCATTAATATAGGCCTACTATATTTTTTGTGTGCCTGCAGTGTGTTTACGTCCGTACATGTCGAGGGTTTTTTTAAACATTCGAGTTGGTCTAAATATTAAATATTATTATATTAAAAACAACACGTACACATTATATTTACATTATGCTTTACAAAGCCATACCAATGCTTACCTGAGATTTTATTTAATTTTTGTTGAGCTGTTGTACAGTATCTGCAACCATCATTCTCCATGGCCATGGAATTAATTAATACAAAATGTACATCTTTCAATGTGTACAATTCCACACCCGTATTATTGAAGTGTTTTTCAAAACGGTTAATGAAGAACTCATTCAATCTATGGACATAACATTACTTAAACATGTATATAAATAGGATTTTTAAGAAAAGTTTACCTATAATGAAAGCCAACATCATGATTTCCTGCTACAGTAATAAGCGGTATGTTGTGTGATATATTAAAATATTTTTGGAAACGTTGCACGTATGAATCGAATTCTTGCATATCAACTAAATCCCCTTCATCAAATAAATCTCCAAGCACAAAAATAATATCTGGATTAAACAGCGAAATAGATGACTGAAAAGAACGCCGCATATGCCATTCACGGTACAATTTATCTAGCCAATGGCCACGTATAGGACCCAACAAATGGGTGTCAGCTAATATCATCGCATGCAACACATTTTTATTATCCTTCACACTGGGCCATTCACATTTTTGCTGCACAATGAAGTCCAGGTAGGTTTCACAAAATAATATTACGCAGACATTAAATAAAAGAAAAAAGTGAAGCTTCATTTTGGCATTTGTTGTCACTTTGTCACTGAGAAAAGGGGTTCATAAACATTTCATTGTTTTGTTTGACGACACAGCAAATACCAACTGTTCCTGTTCATTTGTTGTTCTTGACGCACTCCACTTTTATAAAATTATGTTATTTTTGAACATAAAATTTTTAAAAATATAAAATAAAATTAATTTGTTTGTTACTTCAGCTTTTTTTTTTTTTTGTTTATTTCTATACATAAACAACTTTAAATATACGTCAGCGGAAATTTTCTACTCGAGCAGGTATTTTGTCATAGAATATTCAATATAGACAAGTTGAATACTGAAAATATGCTAAACTTTTCAAGTTCAAATCAACGTCAAATTTTATTTTGAACATTATATAATATGTATAAGTTTTTATTGAAATTCTGCGAGATGCAGTATTAATTTAAAATTGATTGAAAAGAAGTTTATTATTAAACTATTTACTTATGAACTAAGCCAAAAAAAATTAATATTTTTGGTAGAAATAATACACTTATACATTTATTTGTTTTTAAAATATTTAAAAGCCTAAAATAATTGTTTAATATCTCTTTTTCACTTTTTTTTACTATTTACTAACTTTTATATACAAAACACTAAATATAAATAAAATCAGCTGATTTAGCAGTTACACTTTTTAATATAACGAGAAAGAATTAAAAACGAGCGTGCAAAATATTGAACAACAACTGAACACTCCTATGATAATTTTCCATAAGATAGTGTCCAAAACAAAAGGACGCCAATAATCAAAAATATAATAGAAGTATTTTTTTGTGCATAATTAATTTTATGAAATACGGCGTTTCCAAGTTAGCGCATTTGATATTATAGAATTTTTGTTTTTTTATATCCAGTTTTATATCTATTTATAGTGTGAATTAGATGTTAGTACTAGGCTTTATTCGGTAAAACATCAGCTGATTTTTATTATTTTGATCTGCTGCATATTATTTGTTTTACATTTGAAATTTGAAGAGAGGTTATAAATAATAAATGAAAAAATATAAATTATAATAAATAATATAATAAATGAACAAATTTTACTTTTATTTTATTTAAGTTTTTTCACTTTCCGGCTATTAAACAATCGCAAATAAAATTAACTGCTCTGACTATTCAAATCAACGATTTTACCATGAATGAATTAAAATGATGCGTTTAGATGTTTTTTACTTTACAGCGTTACGGAATAAGTAATTACTGAGTTATCGAACTATGATTGAATACCCCTAATTAGTTATCAAATTATTGTCAGAGACAATCTAATCATAATTTTGTTATCTCTGATGTTATATTATAAATCAAACAAAAAACAAAATTATCTGTTAAGACTGTTCAATTCTTCGACTTTATCGTGAAAGTATTAAAACGGTGAGTTCAGATGTTGTATTATTTTATGGCTTAATTACTCATGAAGATCCCTAATAAATTATCAAATTATTATCAAAAAGAATTTAATTGTGATTTTGTTACCTCTGATATAATGTTACAAAGACACATTTCAACTATTTTAAAATTATAAGATATTAACTTTATAAATAAATAAAATTGTTATGCATGAATTGATAAAATGATGGAAATTTCACTAATAATTGAAATATTAATATATTTATTTATTTCATTTTTTGAATAGAATTCTTTAATTTTTTTCTTTTCTGATTTTCTTTTTTTTTAGTTCTGATTTAGAACTTTAAATGATTTTTTTTTTGATATATGCAATAAAATAATGCTTTTAATGCAAAAACATGTAAATCAATTTTTTTGTTGAATTCAAATAATTAATAAATTTTATTTACTTCAATATATCACTAATGAAATACTTAAAAAAATAATTGCACTTGTAAATTGAGAGAAATATGTATATATATAAATGCCATTTTTATTTAATTATTTTTCTGTAAAATTGTAAGTAATTATTCAAATTATTACGATAATATTTTCTGGTGAGAGGAATCAGGTATTGTTTTGAAGATTAACGTAATATACGATCAGATTTCATAAAACCTTGATAACTTGTTATTCAAGTTATATTTCATAATAGTACAAATTTTACTTACGGACATAATCGATAACATTTAGGTCTACTATATGTAAATGGAATGATTTTTGTCTTTGATAATATTCTATTCTACATTAAAAGGTATATTAAATTGATATGGCGTTTTCGATTGGTAAACCTGAATTCAGTTTAGATTCAGTCCGGATTTACTCTCGATCTGCCAAATTTTGTTGCTTAATCAAACATTTTTAGAGTAAACTAAAATGTTTGTAGTTGTGATAGATATTTAGATTATGTATCGATATTTACGGTTTTCATAAATACATATATCGAATCAAATCACAATTTATTTGTCATCATATGAAATAGCTGTTAATTTTAGCGTAATCTTACTATCCCGGCAAAATATCTACAGTGTTATAAATTAATCTCAAGTGTTTTACATTAATTTCGAATGTTATACAGATTTACTACTTGAAAATGAAAATTGCGTTAAAAGTTAAGGTGAAGTAATAAAGTTACCCCAAGTTTAAAAATCGAAAACGCCATTAGAAACTGTTCACGCTGCTTCGAATAAAGTAGTTTTTAGTTTTTTGTTAAAATTCTTTTTCAATTCTCAATTTTTATATTTTGTAGCGAATCATCAGTTTTTTTTTACATCATAATTTTTTTTTTTAAATCAAATGTCAATTTATCATTATCTGGTATCTTATTAGATATTTATCATTTTACAGAGTTGTACATAAAATTCATTTAATTTATATCTTACTTTGAAATAAATGCAGCAATAAGTTTTATATATACATGTGACAGCTCTAAATTTATTTTTTTTGTGTTTTAACTCTAATATTTATTTAGAGCTAAGAATCAATGAACATTTTTTTTGTTAGTGAAGCGGTATATATGCAAGACACTGCGCTATTCATAAATATTTGTAATAAAAAATCTATTGCTCTATATGTATTTAGCATGCTAAAGCCATGCCAATTAGCTAAAGTGTTAAATTTTTTCAAAATAGAAACATAATGTATGCTAGTTTTGTGTATTAAGAGGAAATAGATGTCGAATTTATAGTTATTTATTAATGTACTGTAAAATTATAAAAATAGTAAGAAATTAAAAATTAATAAATATTATAAAAATATTTATTATTAATGATTTTATTATTATTTATTACAGTATTGTAAAAATATAACAATATAACACAACAGTTTTAAGTCATCTATATGCATGATAAAATTCTAAGTAGCAAATGTGTATATTAGGAATTCCCCTGATGAAGGCAAATGCGAATTCGGCGAAATACGTGTAGAGATATACAAAACACAGCATACGAAATAAAAGTTAAAATATTAAAAAACTAAACTGACTTTAATTTATTTTTGTATTCATAAATTAAACGTAAATTTCATACTTTTACTGTCCATTCTGACATTAACAATAAAATGCCCGTAAATAATAAATGTAAAATAGAAAATATCAAAAAATAAGAAAACCAAAGATAAAATATCAATTAATTAAATTGACAGTTATTAAATATTTACTGTGCAAAAACTGTTATAAAAACTAATTGTAATCTTTTATTTACTCAAGTGTGTAATGGGCCATTGATCTGAGAACTAATAAAGTAAATAAAATTATATCTAAACAGGGCATTTAATATTAAGCAAATTAACTTGCCTTGTGACATGTTAATTCGCTAATGTGTATATATTTTGACATAGTATACAAAACAAATAGCACATATATGACACTTTAACGTATCAGCTATTTAGCATGAATCCAGCATGCTAAGTTAAAACGTAAAAAAGGTTGAATAAAACAAATATAAGTTTTAATAATTTATTTATATAAAAACGTGTATATTTATGATGATATGATTCTATTTGTATATATCAAAAATATACGCTGAAAAGTTATAAAGTTACAATATTTGGTGTACTTTTTTTAGAGTTGTTAATAAGCAATATTAAGTCTGGTTAAAATAAAATAAGAGAAAATAAAATGAAAATTAAAAGGGCAATGATTAGCATTTTTATCTTATATATTTAAATTAATTATATATTTTTTTTTGAATTTATTAATAAATGAAATGAAATAAATGAAACATTTTTACGTGTGAAACCTAATTCTGAATATTTTTATAGCATTGTTGTTACTTCACATGTTTTCTTTCGTAAGTTGCAATTATTTTATTGCTACAACGTAAGAAAAAATAAAGCTATTATGTGTTCATCTGGACTCAATTTAGATGTAGTCTTTATCTGTCAAATTTTGTTACCCAATCGAACTTTTTAGAGTAATCTAACATGTTTGTAGTATAATTAGTAGACATCTATATATTTCACAAATACACATATTGAATCAAATTATAGTTTATCAGTCAAATCATATAGCACAGCTGTTAAGTTCATGTTAATCTTGCTACTTTGGGAAAAAATCTAGCGTGTTATAAATTAATCTCAAGTGCTATACATTTTGCCCCAGATTTACCAATTGAAAATTAAATTGCATTAAAAATGCATTGAAAGTTCATTTCGATTGAAAAAATTAACTCAAATTTAACAATCGAAAACGTCATTAGTTATTTTCTGAAGTGCATAAATTTTAACATATATATTATATGCATAAAATTTTAAATTCAAATTAAAAAATATTTCGCTAAAAAATTGATTCGAATAACGTTTGTTTCGTTGAAATTTTTTTTGTTTATGGCAGTTCTGTTTGGTTTCGTTAAATTTGAACGAAGCTTTTTTTATAGCAGCAATAACGCATAACCTCCAACAGCGTCTGTCGAAATAAATCCGACAAGTATTAAAAAGAAAGTGTAGCTTGCTTGTAAAATTATTTAAGGATATACGACTGTGTCTTGTCTAATTTCGTGTTTAATTGTTAGTGTAAGTGTGTGTTTTTACAAAAGGCTATTAATTATTAACAAAAAATTGAAATTGAGCGGGATTTTAATTCATTAAAAAGGAAATAAAATATCCCGCCGCGGCATTTATTCAATAAGAATATTACACACAAGAGAATCAGAAAATAAGTTTATCAAAATTACACAAGCCAGTGGAAGAGAAATAACTACTTAAAATAAAAGTAAACCAAAATAATAATAATTAAATTTTATTAATTTAAATAAGAACTACGTAACTGCTTAAAGTTGAATCGCGCGGCCGGAGCTATTGGTAATTTTATTTTGGTATCAGTAAATATTTTGTATGGCGCCCGCACGCTTTGCCGCCCTCAGAGAGTTAAAAAAAAAATTTATTTCTTCGAAATGCTCAGTTGCTGTGTAATTTAGTTTAGTACAGTCGACAGCGGCGTGCGGGATAGACTGTATGTGTGTGTGTTCGTTCGTCGAGTTGTTTGCTATTTTCATATTTCGTTTTTATACTCATTCTTGTTGCATTTTATAATTCCAAAAACTATTCGAATAACAAATTTAATAAAGATTTTTTAAAATTATATAGGTTAAAAAGTGCAAGTTTTAAAAATGTCGACAAGGTCTAAGCGTTCTAGTACGGCCACGCCCCAGCCCCAACCTGGTAGTACATCTACACCAGTTGTTTCAGGTACTAATCGACCATCGAGTCCATTAAGTCCAACTCGCCATTCGCGTTTGCAAGAGAAAGCCGAATTGCAAAATCTGAATGACCGTTTAGCTTGTTACATCGATCGCGTCCGCAACCTCGAAACCGAAAATGCGCGCCTGTCTATTGAAGTGCAAACATCCAGGGAGACAGTCTCCCGCGAGGCAACTAACATCAAGTCTATTTATGAGAATGAATTGTGTGATGCGCGCCGGTTGCTCGACGACACCGCACGTGAAAAAGCCAAGTTGGAAATTGACCTCAAGCGTCTTTGGGAAGAAAACGAAGAGTTAAAAGCTAAACTTGACCGTAAAAGCAAGGAATGCGCTGTATCTGAAGGTAAGCTCCTATATTACCATCTTAAGTTTTATTAAATAACTAAACCAAGGGTGAGGGTGGTGCGGCGAAAGGAGCCTCGCTTGTGTGTACATTCATACGGCAAGCAGTGTTTATCAGTTGAAATGTGCCATTAAAAGTCTTTCGCGTCAAGTGGGCAAATAAAAAAAAGATAAAAAAAAAAAATGTGCACAGTGGAGGCTCCCATATTAAAACATAAAAAGAACACAATTTATTTATGATTTTATATTAAACATAATAATTTGGTTTACAAATTATGTACAAATTCTAAAGAATTTACTTCTATTCCGCGAAATTCAGCATTTTATTTTATTTTATTTTTGTTTTTTCTTTTGTTTTTTTCATGCCCACAGTGGTTAATTTCATTAAAATAAATTATGTTTATAATTTTTTTTATCAGTTACAGTATTAATGTTCAACTTGTTTTGTTTGCAGATTAAATACTTAAAACTTTTTTAAGTGCTAAAATTAAATCGCCATAAAAATATATTTTGGCATGTTTTTTTTTTTTTTTCTTTTCTTTTATTTTTTATTTTGAGTACAAAATTGTGATTATATTTTTAACAACATTTAATATAAAAAAAAAATTAGTTTACTTATGTTATCTGCAGAAAATAAAATTTTTTAAACTATAGTTCTTGTCTTTCTACATTTTATAGTTGATTGTTGGTTTAGCTTGTATTTTAGGCTAAATGATAAAAAAATTGTTACACTTCTAGTTATAAAATGTTATAAAATAGCCGATTCTACCTACTGAAGATAATTGTCATTTTCAAACGAATCAAGTACAGTTCACCGCTTCCAAGTATAACTCAAAAAACAGACCTAGTTTCACAATTTTTCAGAACAATTACAACAACATTTCGTTATCCCTTTTGTAGTTGAACTTTTGTTTATTTTACCATACTAGCCTATAACTCTAGGGAACTAGGGTACAAAAAACATCTAAGTATTAAATAAAATTAAATTCTTTTCTTTACAAAAAAAAAAATTATTTATATATTGAAATTGTATGAAATGGATTAAGATTATATGAAATGGATTGAGATTGTATGAAATGTATTGAAATTATCATTAACATGTTATCTAAAATGATGATTTAAGATGACTCAAACTTCCAAACTTCATTTGTTAAAAGTATTACTAGATAACTATGACAGCTGTAATATTAATGGAAAAATAAAAAAAAGAAAAAAAGGCTCTATATCCATATAACTTGGTTTTCCAGATGCCGGATGTTTTACCTATATTTCAAAACAACTAAACACACCAAATAGCAACAATCAGTACATAAATCTTTTTGTGCTATCTCTGGAACTAATGTATATTGATATATATCTAAGAATTCCAAAAGCGATCTGGTCTACAACAACAGATCTTCAAGGGTTGCAACAACAATTAAGCTATATGTGGATATAAGTTGACTTTCCGGATGCCGGGTGTAAATATGTTAATTTTTATATTAATTACAAAACAATTATTAAACGTGGCAACCAATACGTAAATCTTTTTGTGATGTCTCGAAAATTAATATATACTTATCAACATATAGCTTAGTAAAAACGATTACTGTTGTTGTAACGAGCATGGATCTGCTTGTTGTGTAGTCTCTATTGAAAGTGTTCAACGATACTTGGTCAAGATATTATAAACGTGGTAAACCCTTAAACGTGTCGTTGTTGTGGTAATGGACTGAGATCTGAGATCATATGCATACACAAATATTAAAGCGACTAAATGATTTTAATATAAAAATATAAAAACAAATTGCTATTTTGCTTTTAAGCACTTTAAAATGTTAAAAAATTTATATGGATCATTCTTCATTTTTAGTTAATAACCGGGTCTCAAGTCGTACCCCAACATTCAAATAGTCAAAACAAAACATTTTTCTTTTTCAATTTCAACTTATTGGGTTTTGCTAATTTATAAAAATTATTTGTTGTATGATTCATTAATGAATTTTATTTTATTTAATTTGTATATGAAATAATTTTAAAAATATAAATTATATAATACAAATATTTTTTTCTTACAGCCAACGCTCGCAAGTATGAGACGCGTGCTTCCGATTTAAATTCCAAATATATTGCAGCCAACGCTGAACGCAAACGTGCGATTGATGATTTAAATGAGTTACAAAAAGAAGTGGATCGTTTAACTCTTATATTGGATGATTCACGTAAAAATTTGGAAGAAGAGACTCTAGCACGTGTTGATTTGGAGAATAGTGTGCAGAGTTTACGTGAAGAATTGACATTCAAAGATCAAGTTCATTCACAGGAAATTAATGAGACTCGCTCTCGTCGTCAAGTTGAAATCAGTGAGATTGATGGTCGTCTTTGTGAGCAATACGAAGTTAGATTGCAGCAATCTCTGCAAGAACTTCGAGAGCAATATGAAGCGCAAATGCGTGGTAATCGCGATGAAATTGAAGCTCTTTATGACACCAAAATGAAGAACTTACAAGCATCGGCAAATCGTAATGCTAGTACTGCTGCTAATGCTATTGAGGAAATACGGACTGTACGTACACGCATTGATGGTCTCAATGCACGTATCAATGATTTGGAGTCAACTAATACAGCATTGAACAGTCGCATACGTGAGTTAGAGCAGTTATTGGACACTGAACGTGCAGCATATGGTGCAGAAATAAACAATCTGGAAACGGAGTTGCAACGTTTACGTGATGAAATGGCATTGCAATTGCAAGAATACCAAGATTTAATGGATATTAAGGTAAATTTTATATATCTATTCATTTAAGTATTTATATTACTATAGCTCGCCTTTAGGTATTACTGTAGCTTGTCTTTAGGTATTATTTTGTAAAGAATAACTTTTGAGTTTCAGACATTATTAATAACAGTATAAAAACCTATTCAATGTATATAAAGTTAAGTATTGACTTAGTAAGTCGTTTGCTTGAGGTTAGTCAAAGATTTGTTAGGATAACTGTTGCAAGACTAAGTTTGGACTAATCGTTCACATGTATAAGTTTCTAATCTAAAAGATGTTACATATTTGTTGAGTTCTTTGTTGTGAGAGCTCCATCGATCAATTCCTTCGTATAATAATGAAGATCAGTTCAGTAAGGTTGAGTAAAGACAATATACGGAGACAGAAACTGCTTTTAGATCCTGCCTGAGCTCACCTTCGTTTCTTATTATAATAGAAAACAACATTAATTCTTTCTTCATATAATAGTAGAGACTCATCAGTGAGGTTGACTAAAGATAATATACGGAGAGAGTATATTCTTTGAGGTTATGCTTCTATCACTGCAAATTTTTTAAAAGCATTTCGCTTGAAAGCTATAACTATGATAGCTTATAGCCCAAATTTTATTACGATATAACTACATGTTAAGTAGTTACTTACCAAATAACAATACTTATTAAGTATTAAATAAATAAAAAATTTATTTAAATAAGTATTTTAATATATAGAAACACAGCAATATATATATATTTAAATTAGCAAATAAAATAAATACAAAATATAAAAAAATTATATAAAATAAATAAAAATTAAAATATAATACAAAATAACTATAACTAAAAACTAAATTAAATTTAAAAAAAAATAGTACAAAATAAAAATTAAAAAATAATATAAAACAAATAAAAAGGAGAACAAAATAAATAGAAATTACAAAAAAAAAAAACCAATTAAATTAATACATATAAATTAATTAAATTAGAATTGTAATTGAATCATGAATATTTAAAAGAAATTTTTTTCAATTAGAATTTTTAATATTTGAGTAAGTTTGGAAAAAAAAATTAAAACTAGTATTATAAAAAATCAAGAACGAATTTTTACAAAGATGTACTTAAGCTCTTAACAACCCGTTCTTAAGACTTGTTTATGTTATTATTTATTTTTTTATTCTATAGAAATAAAATTAGTTATAATATTGCTGAAATAAATGATATATTTTTATTGATGTTATTTATATATTTCAGGTTTCACTGGATTTGGAAATTGCTGCATATGATAAATTGTTATGTGGTGAAGAGTCACGTCTCAATATTACCCCAATGCCACAAACCGCCACAGCTAGTTCATTTAGCCAAAGTCTGCGTTCAAGTCGTGCTTCTCCATCACGTAAAACACCTTCACGTGGTTCAACAACATCGGGAGCATTCAAACGTAAGCGTACGGTTGTAGATGAAGCAGAAGACATTAGTCAATCTGAGTACTATTCTACTGGTTCTACTAAAGGAGATATAACTATTGTTGAAGTTGATCCAGAAGGAAAATATGTGAAGCTACATAACAAAGGTAATAAAGAAATACAAATTGGTGGCTGGCAATTGCTACGTGTAGCCGGTAGCAAGGAAACCAGTTTCAAATTTCATCGTAGCGTGAAAATTGATGCTGGCGCCAATGTTGTTGTTTGGTCATCAGAATCGGGTGTTACACATGATCCACCTAGCAATATTGTCATGAAGACGCAAAAATGGTTTGTGGGTGATAACATGAAAACTGTGCTTTTAAACAACGAAGGTGAAGAAGTTGCTTCTACTGAAAGGCTTAAACGTTCGGTAATGAAACACTCGTCACGTCATCGTGGTACAATCGGACGCTTTACTACTTCTGCAGTAGATGGAACCGGCCGTGAGCATATTTATCATCAAGTTGGTCAAACTGAGCAGCAAGGCGAAGAAAAATGTCGCCTTATGTAAACTTTATAGCTCAAAGTTTTTTAATTAAACTAAACTAAACTAATTTTATAAATTAAATAATAATTTCTACATAATTTAGCCATTTAATGCCACGTCCCCACCTGTGAGCAATTCCATTTTCATAATATATTTTTCTTAATTTAAGTTTTAAGCACATTTTATATAACAGTAGCTTCTTTTAATTATTCAATACGACCTACATCTTTTGACAATACATTTTTTTTTCTACAATTGTTATAAATTATCTTAAGAAACTTTAGAACTTGAATGATTTGAAAACTTGTAAAAAATTCAATTCGTATACTCTATGTACAAAAAAATATTAAATCCGTATTATGAATCAATGTAAGAAATAACTGTATTTTAAGAGAAACATTTCAGATACAATGTTTAATCAACTCTTCATTAAAAATAATAGAAAATAGAATAAAATCATTTCATATTTTATTTTTATTTATATTATTATTATTTTAATGAAAAACTGATTAATTGATAGTAAATATTTTAAGTCTTGTTCGTATAAGAAAGAACTTTAAGCAGATAAATTACACAAATCTTATAAGCCTAGCTAAAGCTAAGAAAAAAAGCTAAAAAAAACAAAAACAAAACGTAATGATGCTTGACATGCGTAAAAGCTATAGCAATACGGAATACTTACTTGTGCCGCGCCTACTACTAAGCACATGTTAGAATTGTAGCAACCAACGCCCCAAAAAACCAGTACGACAACCACGTGCGTTGACAAAGCTTGGGAAAAATTTTACCAACTTGACATGATTTTTGTCAGTCTAATTTAAACTAGACTCAAACTTGAACTCATACATGGCCAGGCCAGTTAACAAAAACAGTTTTTAACGTACTGACTGACTGACTTCTCTAGTTGGGCTTTAATTGTCTGTACGCTTAAACTGTTATACTCGTTTACAAGTGTAAGCTCAGTTTTATTGTGCGTATACCAATTTTAAATTCAGTTCAATTATTTTAATCTTGGCCGAGTTTTTCGATGTAATAATATCACATCTATTTGATTAATGTAAGGCGTTGGGAGGGAGGACGCATGTTGATTAACATTATTTAAGACATTTGAATAAAATAAAATAAACCGATATATAAAATTATAAGAACTCAACAAATAAAATAAGAAAATATGTATAATTAAGTAAATTTAAGTAAAATTTAAGAAAGAAGTTTAAACGTTTCTTAAAGTGAAATAATATAAATTTTAAATAATTATATGAATAGTATATATATTTTTATATATATCAATTTGGAAATAAAAATTTGAAAGAACATACAATAAAGCATCAAATAAAATAAAAATAATTTATAAATATAAATATTAAATGTAAAAATGCTTACATAAATTAAATCTAATGTTCTATTTAGAAATGTTTTAAAATTAAGTTTAATTTTAACAGAAGCTATCTGAACTATAAGAGCAGAACTATTAAAGTAGATTATTAGTAATATAATTATGTTAAAAATAATTATGTTCTTCAAATGATTTTTTAAATAAATAATTTTCATTAAAATAGAAGAACATCTAATACATTTCTTTTTACATATTATGTTTGTTTTTCCCCCGTGTCACTGACCCCCTAAACAGTTTCATAATCGAATGGGCAGGCGGCAGCAGCATTGAATAATGAGTGAATACGTGAACGAAAGCCTTCGCCTCAACGTATGTATTTATGTTTCTTTCGCGTAAATAATAAATTATTTTTAGTTTGTTTTGGGTAAAATAAAATTGTTTTTCAGTTTTTTGTTAAATATTTTCACTTTCATCGCTGACACATTTAATGTTGTGGTTGCTAACGAAAGCAGTGCATTTTTGTGAAGAGAAATTATGTAAAAGTGTGTGTGTATGTATGTGTGTGTGTAGAATAGAGAAGAAAATACCTCTTTAGCTGCACGCAAAGCCGGTCTATATTTGACGATACATTTTTGAACGATCAAAATTCGACGAGTCTGCAATATACCACTTTACGCACCCTACATACATGCAGAGAAGTGCTGTGCTGCATGTATTATAATATACGTAAATGGTATAAATATTTTTATAATTGCACAAATAAAGATGCTCTACGAACTACTCCGAAATATTTGTATAAAAAATATTATTTTTATTTTATATATATTTAACGTCTTAACAAAAACTTAGTGAGTTACTTACTTACTAATTTAGCCATAACAATCCGTTACCGAGTTTCCAGTCTCGTACATCAAGTCCAGTTAGTGCTCCCTCAACTTGATCACTTCACCGGCGACACGGTCTATCTCTACGTATTATTCTGCCAACTACTGCTTTAAACACCTTTTTCGCTGAAACATCGTTCATTCTCAAGCCATGACGAAGCCAGCGAAGCCGCTGGATGTTAATTTGCTGAATTATAAAGCTCGTGGTTCATTCGTATGCGGTAGTCGTCACCAACTCGTAGAGGAGCAATGATCTTACGAAGAACTTTTCTCTTGAACACTCTTAGCGTTGCTTCATCATTCTGTGATAACGTCCATCCTACTGCGCCATACAGAAGCACTGGAAGGATGAGCGACCTATAGAGCGTACGTTTCGTTTATCGAGAGAGAAAGAGAGCTCTACATTCCAATTGCCTGCTGAGAAACCATAGTAGCACCTATTAGCAATGGTGATTCTTTGTATGATCTCCAGGCTGGTATCAACCATAACCTTAAAATCGGGAAGAACACAGGGAAGAATAAAAATCGTTACCACGGGGTAGATAATTCGTTACCACGTGAAAGACGTCGTTCAAGCATTGAAATTTCAAGCAGAGACCTGTAAGAAACTTTACTATAATGCAGAAATGGTGTTACGGAAATCTCTACAAGTCTCTTAAATTTGAGATTTAAATGATGAAATATAACGATTAGATTCCATTAATGCAAAACACGTTTTTTGAAGAGTAAGCACGATTTAGATTGTTCTATAATAATATATTATAATATTAAGTTATCTAAATTCCCTAGAAGTTGTTTAATAATTAGATATATATGTAATAATAGTAGTATTAATTAGTAAATAACTGATTTGTATGTATATATATCGCTGTTTTACCAGTTGTTTCGAAACCCATTCAAAATTAAACGCCTGGCTAAGCACATGGCTATTTATCAAAAAAATCTCCATGAACAGATTTTACCATTATTAACATATATACCATTATATATAAACTTAAAATAAAGCAGCATTAATTTATGTTATATTATTATATTTGTTTTATTTTTATAAATATATATACATATATTAAAATTTTTTTGTATGATATATTAAATCGTTGGATAGTTGCGATAGCGTTCTTCAATAAGTTTTTAAATATTCATTTGACAATGCATCTTTTATGGTGAGTGCATAAATTCCGGGTACCAACTTGTCTATAAAATAAAACAAAATATAATTTTTCAAATTTTTTCATAAGATTTTATATAATAATACCAATTTCCAAGAGTTTCCCTATACGAGTTTTAGTAGGCTCCATACTTCCTACTAACCTCTTGAAATTCTTAGTGGTGAATTGGATAACCGCTCTTCTGTCACCAATTATTGGTTTTAATTCTTACAATTATCACAGCCAAACATTAAAAACTCTTGTGGTGTCTGTATATATATGGGATAGACGATAACACAACATTTTAGGTGTCAACAAACATAATATATGTATTTATAATAGAACTTTAAACTCACTTTAACCATTGAACCAAACAAGCAAGCACGCAGTTGTTTTAGATCACAATTTGAACTTAAATCCATAACTGTTAAGCAGAATCTCGAAAAATAAATCGCCGACTTTCTAAAAGAATTTTATTTGGCAGATATCAAAACTTGTAGCGTTAGTAATCTATTACATTTTTCAGCCATGTTAAATAACCTAAATTACTCTAAAACTATTACATTTTGCTTACACTATCGTGGTAATACGACAAATTTATATCAATAATCCTTATTTTTGTTAGAGAATTCACAATAAAATGTGTTGAGGTTCAATAATTGTGGTAATATATTTTTATATTAATACGCATTGATGATTGATGATAATTTGAAGTTTCAGTATATTTTTTTACTCTATCTTATTAATATTAAAATATTCTTGAGTACTTTGAAGAAATTAAAAATAGATATTAAATATTCTGTCCATTTCGAATTAATGTAAGTTTTATATTCTATATTTATCATTTGAAATATTTTTTGTTGTTGTGGATATATAATAATGCATAAATATATTATTAAAAACTAAATTGATAATAGTATTAACATATTTAGATAACATATTTGTTTGTTTCTGATAAAAAAAAACGATGCTGCTGATTTGCTGAAATATGGACTTATTAAGCAAATAGGGGTTATATAATTATTTATTTAAATTTAATGGCTCCATATTTTTACTGTAGGGTCATTACAGACTAATTTTATAAATTTATTATACATATATAATAAATAGTTTATTTTAATTTTAATGTATTTTAAAAATGAAATTTATTTGTTTTTTTTTCATATAAACATAAATATTTACTTTGAAATTGCAATGTAATATTATTATTTTAAATAGAAATGTAAATCAAATTGAAGCAATTAAAGCCATTTACCCGGTGTGAATAATTTTCAACAACAGGTTTGGTTTTTTCTATTAAAGTTTTGGATATGAAGTAATTTATGCATATATAATTATTCAGATATAATTTTAGACCTAGAGAATCACAGTATTACCCTATGATTCAAGTACTTAAAATACGCACTTAAATTTGTGTATTATTACAAAAGAAAATACGAAATGACTCTCTGGCCGTCTGTCCGTCCTATTCGTCAATTCGTATAAAATTTTTAATTGTATTATTGAAATACTTAAACATTTAAAAAATAAGTAAGTATATATGAAGATTTAAATTACTATTGAATATGAAACTAATTATATTATACTTATGTTGTATAAATTTAAAATTGATTAAAATATTTACGAATATAATGGTATGTCTCCATGTTACTATTTAACCACAGAATAAATAAAAAAAAATATAAAAGATACGTAGCTTCGTAATTGAGTTATTGATCAAGTGTGAAAATACTCATAACAAACGTCTGAATGCTCCATTTCATTTCTCGGTGAAATTAAGCTGTCTAAGCAGTTAATTTCTTTTTGCTTGTCTTGTTTTTTTCTTCAAATAAGCAAGGAAAAGATAGAATTTTAGACAAATAGTAAAATTAAAATTTAAGTAAAACATATATTTATATAAATATGATATTATTTATGTATTTATTTATTATTATTTTAAATGCTTAAAATTTATAAGTTATGTGCAGAATACCGAAAATGATATTCAACCTGATACCTTGATAACTCGTAGCTAGGTAAATCGGTAAAAAACCAAAAACTAATATATGCATATAAAATTTAATCACTTAATCAAGTTAACGTTTACGCCCGAATACCCTTCAAGTATATCTCTGATACAATATTTTACGGTAATTCCAAGCGAACTTTTCGTTCGGATATGAGGATATGTTTAAAGTCCCGCACAAACTTATAATTTTAACTAAAAATAAAATATTTTAAAGTTGCTATTGTGTGCAAAATTGAATAACTTTAGAATTTATATATATTGTATAATTTAAAATAATCAATAGTTTTTTTTTGCGCATTTAAAGCATATATGTACTTTTAATTTGGACTTATCTATATAGTCATATATGTACATGTATTTTATCTGAAAATATTCTAAGAACTGTTTGTAGGAACCATGAGTAAAAAAATTTAGCCATTGTTACATATATGAGCAATTAAATTATTAATTATATTAGCATTATTATTATTTTGATGTTGTACTAAATTAATTTATTTTTAATTTATCACTGTTCTACAATTGTTACAATTTTATTTTAAAGATGTGCTATTTACCGTCTTATAAGATATTTTAAAATTTATTAGAAAGTTTGTTAAGAGTTTTTGACTTGAATACATTAAAGGAACAGTAAGCCGTACTTTATCTGATCAGAATCTATTATCAATCAACCCTGTATGCTTCAATATTGTTTGTTTATGTTTTCGTATTGTGTTAAAAGTATTGTCACATTGTGTGATTTCTTATAAACATACATATGTAAACTAATTAGTCGTTTAAATTGACTTTTTAAGGTTCTTATAAGATTTTTTACTTAATAAGATTTCTTATTATGTTGGCTTGTCAGAATATTTTTGTATTTACATCTTATGTGCATGTTATTTATAACTTTTCTCATAACAATATTCATTTTTGTGTTTATCGCAATAAGTGAGTACTGCTTAGTTATATTTGCCACATAAAATCTTAAATCTAACGCTATAGTCTTGTAAATCTTTATTTTGTAGTAAATTATAAATTATGTTTTATCCTTTAAACTTCTAAGATGATATGCAAATTTATTAATTTTTGCCTTGTTGTAAATCTTTAAATTATAATTTATACACTCGTATATATGAGATCAGCGGAATAAATAATATGAAATTTATTTAAATGTGGCAACTCTCAAAATTTCGTTATGCTCTTCATTCATTTTATTTGTTTTCGCAGTTTCGTACAAATGAAACAGCGAAGGTTCATTGCCCCAATGCGAATTTCGAGATAAGGAAAAATATGCAAACAACAGAAAGTTTTATTTTGATTAAAAAAATTGTGTCAATTTTAATAACTTGTATGCTTTCAATGACTAGTAAGCAAATACGTAAGCAGATTTAAAAAACAAAATTATTGTTTGTTTACATAAAAGTAAAGTAGAGGAGAGTTTACTTTCTTGGTTGTTTACATGAAAGCGATTTTATATCTTATCATGTTGAAAATCAAATTTATTTTTAGGTAACTTAATCAGGACTTCACAACTGTAATTTTATTCTAAAATAAAAATAATAAAATAAAATTAATTAATTGTTAGTAGTGAAGTTCAGGTATCTAATATTTATATAGAAAAGTAAATAAGAGAAGGGCTAAGAGGAAAATATTGACCCACTTATGCTTCCAAGGTGGACATATCTTATATACGACATAATATAGAATTTATACTATTTTTCATGGACATACCCATAAAGATTAGAAGAACTACCTGCTTAATATGTACGAAATAGGGGCCACTGGGACTCAAACAAAATTAAAATTAACAGCTAACGAATTCTATTATCAATTTAAATTAATAATTAATTAAGAACTAATTTAGTTAATTAATTTAAAAACTAAGCAGAGACAAAACTCTCTTGCGATAATTCGACTAACTGGTGGTATTTGTATTGTAGGATAGATAAGTTTTAATAAGTTGAGAAAGTTCTATATTTTTCTTATGCAAATATTGTTAATACGAAATCTGAATGGTTTTGAATTTCATATATCATCTGAAAAATAAAAGTCAATTGTTTTGTGAAACGCAATTTCTAAATTCTTTACACTATTTCGCATAAATAGTGTCATATATCCAACTGGTAATGCACAATTTGTATTATCTTTTATCTACTAGAAATTAGGAACCTTCTTGTAAGAACGATACAATGTCTTTTATAATCACTCTATTTTCTCTAGACTCTTCTTCAACTTCTTCAAATAAGAAGACGCTTCTTCAACTCAAATAACCAGTACTAAACCTCTATTTAACTCTCATCTCAAGACAACTGAGCAAATCATTATATTGTAATAAATTACACTCTCCATTTCAATTGATTATAATTAAATGCTAATTAAAAAATCATTGAATCAAATTATCAAGCGTAATTATAAAATTACAATATATAATCACAATATCTTTAAAATCGTAAAATGTTGTTGAAAGCAAAAATTGTTTTTTTTAGCATTAATAATAAAATAATATAATAGCAAGTACTTCAGTGCCCTTTGCCCCAGGATTCTAGACATATAAAGAACATAATATCGTAATCTTGCGCGAAGTCATATGTCTTTGTGTGTCAAAACTAATATTATTATGTTCACCAGTTATTGTTACGGTTACTAAAAATAAAAAATATCTTTATTATAATTATGTTTTTTTTTTTTAATTATTTTTTTATTAATAAATATTAAAAAATAGAAACTACAAAGGAAATTTAAATACAAAAAGGGAATTTTGCATTCTTTTTCCGGTTCAACTTCAGTTTTTTTTTTTACAACAAAATTGCAGTTAACTTTAATAACTAAAATATTAAAATTAAAATATAAATTGTGTATTATCACAATAATATATAATACTATATATAAATAGTGAATACTATAATATATAAATACTATTTTAATACATAAAATATGTATGGGATGCTTTTTTATGTAGGATAGAGCGTCGAACTGAGATAATTTTATTATTCGATATGTATATTTATGACATTAATGATGAAAAATAGTTTCGATTAGTTTTCAATCAGGTAAATGCTGTAAAAATAGCATAAAGAGCATAATAGAGCCTGTTATGTCCACTTTAGGTTGTATCACGGAACAACCATTATGGCACATTGATACAACTTAAAGTATAGCTAGCGCCCAACTTGCGGTCTAAAATATGTGTGTATACTGCCGACATAAAAATCATAGTTCTAGTTAGACGTACATGACTTAGACGATGTAGTGTATTAGTAAAGACAGTCGTGATAAATATTGTATTAGCATGATATAAATAGTAGGTACTTTCATTGGAAAGAGGGACTAAAAGATGGGTTATTATACATTTATATAAATAGTAAGCTAGTTTCGGGTTTATTTCGCTATAAATAATTGTTGCAAGTTTTTTTATTTTTGTTTAGTTTTATTGCACCGCTAAGTAGTAAATATCTTACCCAAATGCTTAGTCTAATGAAGTGATAAACAATAATCCAGTCAAGGCGTAAAGAGGGGTTTTGAAGATACCTCGCAGTTAACAGAGAGTAAAGTGCACAGGCTCAAATAGCCTAAACATAATAATATCGGGCATGTCACTGTAAAATAATAGCTGTTCCGTAAAACAACATAATGTGAACAAATCTTTTTTATTTTAAGTGCTGTTTATCCTTTGCTAGACCGTTATATAGCGGTGCTATGATAGAATTTTCAATAATTTTCCAAAATCCATGTTCCTAAATTTTTTTTAAATATATAAGCCTGTATTTCGATGTTTGCTACTAGAACTGGAAAAAAATTTTGGTTTATCTGTATAGGTTCATAATGTCAAATACTACAACAAAAAATGTTTAACCGTTTGTATATAATAAGATCGAGCAAATTGAATTTTAATTTATAAATATATATATGTTTATGTAGATATAACATTTATCAACTACTTGCTTTAATAACTTATTGATTTCTCAGATAAATTGTCATGCAACACAGTCTTATTGAAACCAAAAGACATTTAGTAAGTATTCCTCAGACAGGGAAAATTAAAGTTTGTACAAGATTCTATTCCGGGTGCCCCTGTCAGTGATATTACGTTGCCTACATTTTTGAAGAAGTAAAATCCAGTCATAATATTAATTCATAAACAGCACCAATCAGTATATTTTTGAGGGTGTATTAATAAGTGTTAGATTATCTCTATTTATTGTTTACTCCATATCTGGTCATTTAAGTTACTAAGATAAAAGTTAGCTTCATAGCTAACTTGTTTGTAGACATTTTTTACTGAACATTTGTTTGAGATATACTTTTATATAAAAACAATATATAAATCATTAAATGCATATATTTTATAAGTTAGACCGATTCGAATAGCAAAGATAGGCAAAGACAAAATTTTTTTTATTTATTTATTGAAAACATATATTTTACATTTATAAAATGTAGAATTTTTTTTATGTTGAGCTAATGTATGTATCAGCCGTGTGCGAGTTCGAGTAAATTGTAGGTAAATTGAGGGAAATAGTAAATTATGTCGGTATGCCAGCGAATGCTGGTATTTACCAGAATTTCGAGTAGGGTAAAATAGGTAAAAATTAGGTAATTGGATATTACCTTTGTGAAAATTTTATAAGATGTTTAATAAATAAATACATAAATGTAAATACATAAATTTTCTTATGTACATAAATTTAAAATTTTGTAACAGAAAAATAAGAAATAAGTGCAATAAATAAGTGTAAATAAGTGCAGTGCAAAAAATCCCTAGGAAATTTCAATTTACTTTACCTCAATTTACTCGAACTCGCACAGGGGCATAACTGTTTACGATTCTCATTGGGAACTATTTTTTATAATTCAAACTTTTTTGGAAATTTTGTCGGTCTTAATTATTCTGATTGGGTATCGTCTAGAAAATTTTTGCTTTATTATTCTATAATACATTTTTCCTTATCTTTTTTTGATTTTTGATTAATTTTTGAATATTTCTATGTATATTAATAAAGATTAAGTGTCTTTGATAGATATTTAGTTATTTGTTTAAGTTAAATTGGGTTGATAGCCATTCTTTATTCGCTCGATTTAAATCAGTTTGTATATATCATCATAGAAGTAGCGAAGAGACATTGAAACTATGCTTTAAAGAGATTTTTTGAAATAAAAAAACACATTTCAGCAATATTATTTCTAGCAAAATCTAAACATAGACCATTCAAATAAAATTTGATTTTTATGGCTTTATGAACCGTAAAGTGCCTAATCTGAGAAGCAGTAAATGTACAATATTTGTGGGATTCATATTTCATATAATTTTTTTTTTTTTTTTCATTCAATAAATTTGATCATAAAGGCAGAAAGTTGTTAGAACTACCGCTAAAACTGGTAACGAAAAACAATAATAAACAAATCAAATTAAAAAAAAACAAAAAAAAATTGATGTAAATAAAAAATAGTTCATTTCACGTTCGTCTCGAATTGACAGTTCGAACCGATTATCATGATGAGTAGTTTTGTGTTAGGTAAGCGGAGTAAGTTCGTCATACATTGCAGTATGTTTGGTCTGAGGCTACTTGGTATGAACGATGATAAGCCTTTTCTGATATCGCAAACATATGGTTGTGTTCGATAACAGCGTATAGTCCACTTTTTGAATAACTTTTTGTTTATACAGACATTCACTACTGCCTTGATACGGTGCAATACAACTGAAGGTCATTGTATTGGAATTTGAATTTGAATTTGTTTAGATTAAATTTCGAATGGGCCGCACTTCAGAAATAATTATTGTCGTCCAAGGCATTGACGTTGTAGTTTGTATTGCTGTCGATGTTATTAGAACAAATGATAAAACTATTTCTATTAAATATTTAATTTATTATAAAGAGATTTTCCGAACAGCAATGAACTACAACAACAAATATTCATTTTATATTATTTTTAATTATTTGAATTTTTAACTGACCATACAGTCTCAAAAAAAAATTTTTTTTACGAAGAATTAAATATAAAAATTAATTCCAAGACCATTGATGATGCGAATTTGGCAACACTCGAAACAACTGTATGGTCAGCTAAAAATTCAATTAATTAAAATAATATAAAATGAATTTCTGTTGTTGTAGTTCACTAATGTTCGAAAAATCTCTTTAAGAATAAAATCAGTAAATTTTTTTGGGTTACGAAAACAACAAAGGGAAAACCATTAGCTGCTTTTCACTGAATCATAGTCTGGATTATCTTCGCTGAAAGAGTATCATAATTGAAAGCAATTGGTAACGCAATATACCATATATATCTGATATTTATTTATTCATAGTATAAAATGTTGTTTCAACCTTCTGTTTATGACTTCATACATTTATTTTTTGTTGTTTTTTGTGATTTGTTTTGTATTTTACTGTTTAAAAAATTTCGCATTGCCAACTACACTTTTCACATTTATTTTGCACGTATATACCACATTAAACCAGTATGTTAACCTGTTCAGTATCTGGTGCTACGCATTGTTATTGTTTCGAGTGTTAGTTGATCAGTTCAATTAAATTATTTTTAATTTATTTTTATATAAAAAACAATAAAATATGTAAACAGATCATTGTTTGCTGAAGTGCAGCTTCTGTAGTATATGATGCTTTTAATATTCGGCCTATGTGATACAAGGCACGAGGATCACTCTAAGTTGGACCACTTTGTCCAAGAAAACCTTATTTTTTTACTTTTTCGTTTGGTTTTTCGGATTCGTGTGAAGGGACTGCTTGTTATGCGGGAGTTTACTGTACCATACCATGTACATGTTTTTATTTTATTAAAATATTTATATTAATTTTTGAGAGGTTATTTGCTTTAGAATGAATATTTTTGCAAAAAAAAAAACTTTATCATTCCTATGGAACAAATTTTTTTGCGTTCATTCATGTTAAATTTTGACTGCTAAACACTAGCTTTCATGTTCTCTTTGGTTGCGTACTGTTTGGTTTGTTCGTGTAGTATTTGTTGTAGGCTTGTGCCGAAGCAACTCCAGCCATACATTCATTACACTGTACACTGTTTCTCCAAATAATTCGGTTTGTTGTTTGTTGTTTAATGTGAACACCAACAAGTGTGAATGGAGCCGAAGCCAACCTCGTTGCTTGCGTGTGGCTGAAAAAACAGTTCAGAACAATTCTTCAGTTCGTTGAACGCTGAGCAAGCGAGTTTTGGTGAACCGGCGTTCATTTACCAAGTGAGCTGTGGTGGAAGTATACGAAATATAAAATAAGGTTTTGTTTTGTTAATGAAGTTGATAAAATAAATTAAAATTAAGTGTCTCATACCGCAAATTACAAACGAAAATACGCCAATAAGTGGTAAATTCTTTATTAATTAAAGTTTTTAATTAAAGTCAATTAACATTACGAAAGAACGTTCAAAAACATATTTACTTTTAATTGCTTTATAAAAATAAATTACTTTTTCGGTACAATAACTTTCAATATTTCTCAACTCAGAATAATAAAATATTAACTGATATTTCTAAGTTGTTTTTTTTTTTTGCCGATAATTGAAGTATATTCTTCAACGTATGTCAGTTGAGGTTTCCGTACAGTTGAGTTATGTCCATATTAAGTGGTGACATTTTTTATCTACTATAACTTAAATTTAAATTCATACATTTATTCAAAGTGTTTTATAGATATTTTACTCCTGAGTTTTACTAGGTAAGAGCACATAAAGCTTGGCTTTATAAATTACTCTTTGTATTGTTTTCTAAGGTTCTATAAGACACCATCTAAAATGATGGACTTTTATAAAGCGTAAAATACATACGCTACTTAACATATAAGTTCAGTGTTTATTTATTTAATTGAGAGGTTTTTCGAACAGTAATAAACTACAACAACAAAAATTCATTTGGTATTATTTTTAATTAATTGAATTTTTGACTGACCATACAGCTGTTGCGAGTATTGCCAAATACCCATCATTAATGGTCTTGGAAATAATTCTTGTATTTAATTATTCGTAAATAATTTTTTTAGGATACTGCAAGTACCAAGAAACGAACATGAGCCCTGCAAAATTTGAAGCTCAGAGTCAACGCTCCTTAATCAACTGATCCAAAGCTGTACTTGACTTTTATGTTCGCACATTTTTCGTGAGTTGAGTTTAGTTAATTTGTTGTGAAAGTTTTATAAACAAATTTACTTGTGTTTTCATATTAGAACGAAATCATAAACCAACTGTAGAATAATTGAATTAATTAATCATATATTTTTTTTTACTTTTAATTGTTAAATTTCAATACATTGATTAACATTAGCATTAACTTAGACTTAAAAGTATAATGAGACTTGATATTAAAAATCTGTTAAAATTTCATTAATAAAACAAGCGAATTTGTGCGGAGAGGAGGTTTAAAAATGCCTAACGCATAGTCACTATGTCGTCACAATAATTGTATAACCGTTTTGCACTGACTGAAACCAACCCCCCTCGTCCAACAAATCAAGATATTGGACACAAAATTATTGATAGTGATGTTTGGTTTATTTTTGCTTATTAACAATGTAATTTTTCTTATATAGTAATTGTTTTATAAAAATTAATATTCAATGTTCATTTAATATTTTAATAGACTTTAATACTTAAGATATAAGTATGATGGAAATTAGAGAATTCTCTATGAAAATATGTAAGGTATTATAATTACAAGGTATGTGAAATACTATGACCAATAATTTAGTTATACCGCTTTCTGTTGGTACTGCATAAACCGATACAAATTTATTTAGTTCCATTGACCAATGAAATGTAAGAATATCGACTGAAACTTGCATATTGTTTGGTATTAAGTGTGGTCTTAAGTGGTCTTATTAATGCATCACAGTTCTCTAGTAGCTCTAGGTTTTCAGTTATTGTACATTCATCATAAAATCTGCACGTGGGACTTCAAGTAATACATGTGCTAGTGTATTTAAACCATATATATATATTATATATGTATTTTCTATATAGTTTATATAGTAGCTTTATACAAATTTAAACCCATGATGAGTACTCAGCTGGAAAGACCGTCTTCGAGACGGTCTTTTATAATACGTCTGCATGTTTGAGGAAATTTGCAAAACAATCGCTTAAAACATGGATGTAAAAAATTTCTCTTTTGCTTACTCTCTAATTTGTAGTGTTTACAGCAACCTATGTTACTTTTGTGAGATAAAATTTTCTATTCTATTCAAATTTTTTAATTTTATTTTATCTTATTTATTTTTATAAATAAATTTATAATTATCTAAAACTTTTAATCAAATGTGTCCACTATGCAAGACATGGATGCATCCAGTCTTCGAGACATGTATGCAAAATGTCTTTGAAGAGATTTTTCTAATTTGTTCGAAAATGTCTTCAAAGACCTGCATACATTTGTATCAATCGGTCTTCAGGCATGTACTCATGTCCTTAAGACGTCTTCGATGACGGATCGATTCGTTTTCTACTGAGCATTTGAATGTATATTATGTCGTAATTGATAATATAGGTATACCAGGGATGTCTAGTTTGTAACGTTTTATTACATTTGTCCTCGTGATATTTTACTAATTTCGCTATTTACTTCTCCTAACATACTCCATATGTTTTGTATTATCTGTATTAAAAAACATCATTTGTTTATATTACATTTGAGATAGTAAGCAACTAAAAAACATTGCCATATTCTTTATTTACTTTGATATAAGTTTGATTACAAGCATTGTTTTCTTGCTATACGACCTATTCAAAATTGCTTAGGTTACAGAAAAAATATAGAAGGTGCTTCATATAATGTGATGAAAGTATTTAAATAGTTACTTCAAAACTAAAAGAAAAACAGTTGTTATTGCTAGCCTAGGTACTATTAAACATGTATTATATGGTATATAGTATATAAATAACCTAAAACTAAAAGGAAGTTTCTACTTTTTGTTTTAAGTTAAGAAATACGAGTTCAATTTTGCTGTGTGTACAGGGTATGGGGAAAAAAATTGCAACAGCTGGAAAACATTTAATTTGAATAGATAAGTCGTATATAATAATTACTCTAATAAGGTGTACAAAGAAGTAAAGCAGCCGTGAAGTATTGTAAGAATTAATTTTTATTATGGAGAACATAAGCATTAGTTCCTTACAGTTATAAGAGCATAATTAGGTCTCTTCTAACTTTGGAGAAGGAAGAACTTAGCGAGTAGGGAAAAAATATCCTATTTCAAATAAATCTTATAAATATACAAGTATGTAATTAATATATATATATATATATATATATATATATATATATATATATATATATATATATGCAGATATTAAAAAACTTGTTGAAATTAGTTCGAGTATTAATTTTATGACAAAATCACATCTTTCAGTTCTTCTACTAGTAGTCAATTACTGATAATATAAAGTGTAAATAAACAGATAATAAATAAAAAAGTTGTACGAGTGTATTAGTCAAGATATTTCAATATTGACAGTTCTATATGTACCCGTATATTATCATATAATGCGGTTAATAGTTTTAAAAACATTAATAGATTAATCTTCACCACAATTTGTTATTAAGTTATTCACTTTAGAAACATTTTAAATTAGATATGATAAAAAACATAAGTTTATTGACTTAATGTTATTATTCTTAATTTTTCTTTTTTGTTTAAATAATAATAATTTTATTATTTAAAAACCACAAATTTTTAAAAAAATTTAAATAATACTCCAAAATCAGATTATAACGCAGCAAAAAATGATCGGTGCCAGCACGTCACCGTATGAGAGTTCTTAAGATACATTAAAATATGTTGAGTAGCTGTGTATAGTTGCCTAAAATTTTGACCGTTTAAGCGGCAAACTTACGGTAGCGATGATTTTTTTACTCACTGGTTTGCACCAGGACTGTATTGATTATATCGTATAAAAACGATAAGCCCCAAACACTTAGAGGCTTTTTCCGATAACTACTTTCATAGCTGTATCATCTGTATTATCATAATCTGTATTATCATTAGCGGGCAGTTGCCAATGGTATATATTCACGCTAGAACCTTCCTACCCATTAGTGTTTGTTAACATCATGCAAATTGTTACTGAGTTCTTTCTGCGCTGAAATGTTTAATAAAAGATGGGAAGACTCAACGATATGCCGCATCTATATGCAATTTGGTCACTTTTCACTAAAAGGAAATCCAATATTTTCATTGAGATGCTCCGTTAAAATATCAGTCTTATGGTAGGTTTACTTACAGTTCACTTTAAACTAGGGAACCATGCTAAAAGATTGAATCTCTTTTTCAATCATACCTGAAGCAGCTGTGGGGACGATGATAAGAGTGCCTCTCATCTACTCTGTCTTAGCCCAACTCATGCATTAGGGTGACTCAATATTTTAGAAGCCTCCTTTCTTGAGGATCTGGATCAATTACAAGACCTGACACAAATCAGTATTTTGAGCTTTGCCAAAGGTTCTAGGTGGTTTTAAACCCTGAGTTTTCTAATAGGCCTAAGTATATCTCCTAGGGATCGCTGTTATAATTTAACCTAACCTAATGTTTGTTCGATATCTTGCATTAAAGACAAGATCAAAAACAAGCTAGTCTGTTATATTAAAACATAAATGGTTTCACGATCAGACAGAAATTTTTACCTCAAGCTCTATAAAGCTGCTAAAATGGCTCAAAATCGTAGTATTTCAGTGTAATTCCTTTTTAACATCTAACTTAGCCGTATCATTTGCTATTGTTTTCGGAAAGTTCAAATTTTTATTCCACTTTAATGAACTTAAGAATATCCATAATATACCAGAAAAGTATTTTGGTCTATTTTAAAAGGGTTATATGGTTATATGGTTTAATATAAACGTTAAATTATGTTTACACACTCATTAATTATTTATTTTGTTCTTCAACATATATTGTTAATAATGCAATGTAATAACATAATATACTTTTTTGTAAAATATGAACCAAAACAAAATTATATATTTTTAATTTCTAGTTAACAAAGAAACTGATCTGTGAAAATGAAACTAGTAATACTTGATAGCGCCGATTCTGTTGGACTATGGGCCGCAAAATACGTAAAGAAGAGAATTAATGATTTCCAACCGGGGCCAAATAAGTATGTACCTGTGTCCATATTTTATAAAAAAAAATCATATGAATTTATTTATAATTTTTAGATATTTTGTGCTTGGTCTGCCCACTGGCAGTACTCCTCTTGGCATGTATAAAAACCTAATTAAATTTCATGAAGAAGGCAAACTATCATTTGAATATGTTAAGACTTTTAATATGGATGAATACGTAGGTATGTTTATGACTTGTTAAATTAAATATTAAACTTATCGTTAATAATATGATCATATGCTATGTAGGATTACCTCGTAGTCACCCAGAAAGCTATCATTATTTCATGTGGCACAATTTTTTTAAGCATATCAATATAAAACCTGATAACGTCCATATACTTGATGGTAATGCCGAGAATTTAGTGGAGGAATGTAATAAATTTGAAGACTTAATTAAAGAAGCTGGTGGTGTAGAACTGTTTATAGGAGGAATTGGACCTGATGGACATATTGCATTCAATGAGCCAGGTTCATCACTAGTATCTAGAACCCGTATTAAGACTCTAGCACAAGATACGCTTGAGGCAAATGCTAGATTTTTTGATAATGATATATCCAAAGTTCCCACGAAAGCATTGACAGTTGGTGTCGGCACAGTGATGGATGCTAAAGAAGTAATGATTCTAATAACTGGAACCCATAAAGCCTTTGCCTTATATAAAGCCATAGAAGAAGGTGTTAATCATATGTGGACTGTGAGTGCCTTTCAACAACATCCTAATACATTAATGGTTTGTGATGAGGATGCAACATTAGAGCTACGAGTAAAAACAGTTAAATACTTTAAGGTATGTGTCATATTTGCATATATGTACTTTAACGTAATTTTTAAAATTTATAAAAAGTTTTATTGATTATAACTTTGTATTTGTAGGGCATACTCGGAAATCTACATAATAAACTTGCTGAAGATGAAGCCGATGATTAGGGGTTACATACATTATATGTTTGGAAGTGAAAGTAATTGCACTGATTGTTATTTATATATAAAGTTATAGATTATTATTATACAGTATATATAAAATTATACATTATTATTGTAGAGTATTTCCACTTTTGCATAATATATGAGTTAGCTTTAAAAGTTAAAGAAAATGTATTAAAATTAATTATATTTTACATTTATCAAAATGTGTTAAGATTTAGTTTTTAAATTCTTCCAAATGAAATTTTTACAATAAGATTTCTGTAAATATATACTAACAACAGTTGTATATACCATATAGTTTTGATCTAAAACATCTAAAACATGTTTCGATCTTTACTTTTACTATTCTAAAAAGTGAATGGAGTTCCAAAATGTGAATGAAGTCCTTAAACATGGATAAAAATGTTGGACTTATTTATTTCACTTTTTTAACATATCGATTTTTTTACGGTAGTACCACTGGCCAATAGTCCTTATTTGATTAATTTAAAGGTCATTATAACCGAATTAAGTTCACGATCCCAAGCAAGTATCTTCAAGTATCCCACCACTGTATCTTCAATATATTACAACGTGACTTTAATGATTATTTATATTATTATTATTAATTCAGGTTAAATATATTATTTTTGGGAGAGAAAAAAAAAACAAAACACATTATTTAAATATAGCTAGTGCTAAGTTCAATATAGTAGATATTGTTCTACTAAGTTATGTATATAAGTTCTGAAGTTAATTGGACTGATCTCTATTATAGGATTTTAGTTTACACTCCTTTTATTTTAATACATATATCTGACCACAATTCTTTTATAAACTTTAAAATGATATTGTATATATGCATATATGTACATATTCACATATATATGTATATATGTATATTCACATATACATATATTATATATTTTCCATATTATATATTATATATATACATATATTAAATCTGTGTATTTGTAATACGTATAGTATTTCACTTTGAATTATCAAAAATAAATAATTACCAGTTTTAGGTCGTATATACGTTAATATAAAGAATAATGTCTGCTATGCTAATACGATTGTAGACTTCCTTAAAATATTTCCTCTTAATTTTGGCAGACCGGTGCGAAGGAAGTATGTGTTTTTCCTTATCTTTCTTTTGCTTTTCCTAACAACAAAAATTCCATTATTATAATTTTCATTGTAAATTCACAAAAATACTGTGTAGTTGTATATATATTATATTTTTATATTAAATTAAATTAAATTTTTGCATTTATATTATATTTTTATATAAATATAAATAATAATTATATAAAATATACTTTTTTATATATCATAATTTTTCATATCTGTACTTTTAAAAATAATTATAATTAAAAAAATTTAATCAACATTAAATTAATGTATATAATTCTTTTTTTGTAGAATGGTTGCAGTTATAATAGTTGCTGATAAATAAACCGGCCTAAACACCTTCATATATAATTCAGAAAATTAAATCGGTGGAATATATATATATTTTTTAAATTTTATTACAGAATGTTGTTATACATTTTTATACCTCACAAATAAAAGTAAAACTTATTTTTTCTTAAAGACAATCTTTCTTAAGACTACTTATTTTAAACTAAAATTATTTTATATAATTTAAATTAATTTTAAAACAATTCTTCATCCTCATATTCCTCTTCATTATCATCATCATCCTCATCATCACTAACTCCAACTGTTAAACGGAGTAAAGTTTTCATATAGTAGATGGAACGTATCGATTCTTCAATCATTTTTTGATTTGCCTTGCTGCGTGAATCGTACTGTTCCTCCAATAATGTTTCCTCCAGTTTAATTTTTTTGTTCCATGTATTCCACATAGAAGACTGATCTTGATGCGGTTGATGACGTGCCTTTGTTTTATGATAATGACACAGTTCATAATTTTTTTGATGATATATTTGATTTGATTCATCACACGTCTCAATATTAATATCTGACTCCTCAGTTGAATCTGTTTCATAATCATAGGTTTTGTTGTGTTCTAAATTGGCCAGACGTATTTCTTCTGCAATGAAAGTACGTACATCATCCAAATAATTTTTGCGAATTTTCCGTTCCCCGAATATGTGACGAGTTGGCTTAAAGTGATATATTTCGCTATATAGAGCATTATTCCATTGTGGCTTTGCTTGCTTACGCGGGTTTGTTTTTATTGCGTAGAATAATCGCCTTTTTATGCGTTGTATTGAGTCATGTTTGCTCTCGTAAGCTGGTGGACTAACATACTCATCAAGTATTTTCATAATTTCCTGAGGATTTTGTTCACCAAAGCTTCTCATACTTGGCATTAAATCAATTTTCCCAGTAACAATGTATATCTGATGTATGCATTGACTTAGATAAGAACGTTTTGTAAGAGTACTCAATTCACTGCTCCATACACTTGATTCATCAAAGTAAATATCTGAATTGTCAGTATCTTCAAAATCACTGTCATACACAACACTATCTGTTACATCGACGTTTTCCATTTTAATGCTTAATGTGAATATACGTATGGCCAGTCTGAACTCTTGTCTGGAATAACTCCATGACAATAATATCGCCGCATTATATACGCGTTATCGCTGAATATTTGCATCAGTTAAAAAGTAGGTATAAAATTAAACACTTTTGTTGAAGAATACAATGTGAGGGATAGTCTCCCAAATTATAATATTATTTATTTCTAAGAAACTACCTGTCGCTCATTTAACAGAATTATTATGAAGTCATGTGATTTAATAGTTATGTGTTGTTGATGGGAACTCTTATGTTAGGTATGTGTTCTACCTAAGATCATAAAATATACAGTTTTCCTTTATTTACCATAACTATTATGTAGTTTAGTAATATTTAATTAAAACCTGTAACTTAAGGGAATCCTTACTTTAGGCCTGTGTTTTCCCTTAGCATTGAACTTATTAGTTTTGATGTTTATAAATAAATGTGAAAAATAACCTTCATCTGTATACATTAAATGTGCTACATGACTTCTAAAAAAATATGCAGAATAATCATTATTGTATGTTGAATTTTTATTTTTAAAGTTAAAAAATATTGTTCACTTGTTAAATTTATTATAAAAATTTGTAATTACTTTAATTATCTAATAATTAGTTATTTAATTATAATTAATTATTTAATACTTCGCATCGACAAAGTAACGTGGATCTTAAATGCAATACGTATATTGAAATTTTTCTAAATATTGGAAGTCAGAATGTTTTATATATAGTATTATAACCCAAAGTTATATCAGATTTTTGAGCTATCACGAAAAGATATTCATCAAATAATGGAAGCTTCTTAATTCTTGACATTTTGTCAATTAAATATTTATACTGTTTATAATGTTTATGTTATGTTTAATGTTTATTATTAAATTAAATAAATATTCAATATTAAAAAATAAAGAATAATGTAATAAATGGTTTACTTTATTTATATTATAAATTGCATATAATAACATTATATATTTTTATTTGATATAAATTTTCATAAAATTAAAAGAATAATAAAAATAAAAAAATAAAGAATAATGTAATAACTGGTTTACTTTATTTATATAATAAATTGCATATAATAACATTATATATTTTTATTTGATATAAATTTTTATAAAATTAAAAGAATAATAAAAATAAAAAAATAAAGAATAATGTAATAACTGGTTTACTTTATTTATATAATAAATTGCATATAATAACATTATATATTTTTATTTGATATAAATTTTTATAAAATTAAAAGAATAATAAAAATAAAAAAATAAAGAATAATGTAATAACTGGTTTACTTTATTTATATAATAAATTGCATATAATAACATTATATATTTTTATTTGATATAAATTTTTATAAAATTAAAAGAATAATAAAAATAAAAAAATAAAGAATAATGTAATAAATGGTTTACTTTATTTATATTATAAATTGCATATAATAACATTATATATTTTTATTTGATATAAATTTTCATAAAATTAAAAGAATAATAAAAATAAAAAAATAAAGAATAATGTAATAACTGGTTTACTTTATTTATATAATAAATTGCATATAATAACATTATATATTTTTATTTGATATAAATTTTTATAAAATTAAAAGAATAATAAAAATAAAAAAATAAAGAATAATGTAATAACTGGTTTACTTTATTTATATAATAAATTGCATATAATAACATTATATATTTTTATTTGATATAAATTTTTATAAAATTAAAAGAATAATAAAAATAAAAAAATAAAGAATAATGTAATAAATGGTTTACTTTATTTATATTATAAATTGCATATAATAACATTATATATTTTTATTTGATATAAATTTTCATAAAATTAAAAGAATAATAAAAATAAAAAAATAAAGAATAATGTAATAAATGGTTTACTTTATTTATATAATAAATTGCATATAATAACATTATATATTTTTATTTGATATAAATTTTTATAAAATTAAAAGAATAATAAAAATAAAAAAAATAAAGAATAGTAAATAAAGGGTTTACCTTATTATATAATAAATTCATATAAAACATTAATATATTTATATTGATAAAAAATTTCTATAAATTAAAAGAATAATAAAAATAAAAAAATAAAGAATAATGTAATAACTGGTTTACTTTATTTATATAATAAATTGCATATAATAACATTATATATTTTTATTTGATATAAATTTTTATAAAATTAAAAGAATAATAAAAATAAAAAAATAAAGAATAATGTAATGAATGGTTTACTTTATTTATATTATATATTGCATATAATAACATTATATATTTTTATTTGATATAAATTTTTATAAATTTAAACTAAATAGAGATATTAATAATGACTATTAATGTAAATGAATGAAGCAGGAAAAATTCACTATTTATGTATCTATTTATGATAAATGTATCACAAATTGTGATAAAAAAATTATGTTTTTAAATGTACATAAATAAGTATTTCTTTCATCGGGCTACAGCCCGTTCTCTTAGTACAATATAATTTCAAAAAAATAAAAAAAAACTTCATACTGATTTTTTTTAGATATTAAAATATAACAAAATCAATCTAGAATGTTTTTTATGACATTTTGCGGAAAAAGTAATTTTTACAACTAATCTATACATATATATGGTATACCTTTGCCAACCTTTGTTATCTCAACCATAATTTAATTGTTGACTCTCTAAGACATGGATTATATGTAACATTTCCAGAAGCACACAATGCTTGTGGGAATATTCTTTGTGAAGTATTCTAGAAAATCATTTTTCGATTTAGAAATATAAAACCACTGTTCAGATCATGTTTTTGTTCAGCCATTCTCAGTTTCAATTTATCTTTGGTTGCATCTCTTAACATATACCTGCTGACATACATAAGTCCCGTCTCTTCATACCAAATTGTGTTGATCCATCTGGTGAATTGATGTTTTTGTTTTGTTAAATAAAACGTTTTGTTTTGTTAAATGAAATGTTTTGTTTTTAAGGTATTTCTTATTTTAAAGGCTATTTAATGAGTTTATTTGTTACAGTACTTTGATTTTGAGAAATATCCTGAAAAACCAAAAATAGACGCTATTGTAAAATTTTTTTTTTGTTGAAAGTTTATGACTTCATCTAAGATATTTTCCAAAGTGATAATACATTTAGTTGTTATCATTTTCTAGTAGTTCTTATTATTTTCGTTTTGTTATACTGTCAATGTTATACTAAAGTTGCCAGCCCCGCAATGACTCTCAGACCTACATTCCACCAGAGCAGAAATTCAATTTTTTTCCATAATGTATGTTACAGTTGAAGACAATAAAACCTTGTAGTATCCATGTTAACTAACACTTGTTTTTAATGAGATCGATCCAGCGCTAATCCTTTTCACTGTTAAGTAAAATATGTGTGAATGATCGCTTTGATCCAAAGGATTCATGAAATCAAACCGCCAGACGTATATCAAACGATCAAACGTATACAACTAACTTTTGGACTAAAATACAGTTTTAAATTCTTAAATAAATAATAGGGTTGCTTTTTTGTTGGTATCCGACATACAGAAATTAAAAAATCAAAAATAGCCATCTTAAGAAGAAGAAGGTTGCTGATAAGAATTTTCTTAATAAGCATTCTGTAATTAATTTTAGTTATTATCACTGAAAAAAAATAATGAAATTTGATGTAAAAGTATTGACAACCATTCGGTGTACATTTATGGGAACCATAAGTGCAATGATGGAAACTACTCCCTTGTATAAGGTAATAATTAATTACAGAAATGATTTTTATAAAAACATGGTATTTTATAATCTCATATTCAAATAGTCTTCGACGATCGCGTATTGTCGATTCAGAAGCCCAAGTATAAGTGAACGAGCTTCAATTGTCGAGTTGAGAGCTACGAAGTTGAAATCGAAATGAAAGTGTGTAAACAATAGTAAGAGTGTCTTGTCTCCTATTGGTTCCTATGAATTCTAATATAGATATATACAATTTGTTGATAGCACGATTTTTCTTTGTTTTGCTTAATGTCAGCGGTGAAAAATAGTTGCCAAGAACTCCACACCAAAACCGGGCGAGTATACTGGGCTTGCTACCGTGACATGCTAGGCATCTAGGATCACACTAACAACAACAAGGCTAACAAAACAGAAGCTAAAGCCTTGGCTAAGTGCTTGATATAAATATAATTATGAATAATGAAATAAAAATCTGATGCGTCAATAAAATCATTCGAATTAATGCATTTGGAATGAATATAACCCGAACTATGCTTTACCTGATTCGCTAATTACTATGACTGTAGAAGTTATTTGATTTTACTGGGATTTTGTGGTTTATTTAATATATAAAATTAAAAAAATGTTATTTTAAATAAAAAATTACACTTATTAATTTATGTTAAATATTAATTAAAATTAAAAGTATGAAGTAAATTTAAATCTTATTCCCCAGGTTGGTTTGACAATTTCTATATATAGACAGAGTATATATGTAAATCAATTTCTTAAAAAATTAAAACTGCTTGAGATAAATATTAAAAAATATTAATATAAAGTTGTTTTAAGATAGACTAATCGGTCTTAGAACTAAGATCTACTAGCTAAGAACTACTTAGTGACGAGCTAAGTATATAGGTAGATGGAACGACTATTTTCAAATGTGTGTGATAAAAAATAACTAAAGGTAAAAAAATATTTTTTATAAGGAAGAAATACAATATTTTCTTTTTCATATAAACATCTTCTCTTCTTTCATTTTTTACACTTTGCTGGATTGTTAAGTTTTATATAATTTGGATTACTTTGGAATGGAGAACTCTCAGTTAATCATAGTCTCCTCACTTCAAAAAAGTTCATCATTACTATAACTTGTTTTTTTTTTTTGAATATTTTTTAGATAATAATAAACATTAGATAATAATAATTTTAATACTTCGGTTCGGGATAAATATTGGTTTGTTCAACATAGGCCGTTTCGTCTTGCTTTCCATTTATCCATATATTATAGTACTCTATCTTTTTCTTAAATGTAGAAACTATTAGACTTTTGTGTCCATTTTTGGGAGGTATGAGCATATAACAGCTATTATAATAACTGTTATGAATTATTTGATTTAATTTTAGTTTTATTTGTTATTTTTTAATTATAATGTCACATTGTTAATTATAAGTTTCATACAAAAAAAAAACACAACAGAACCTCAATAATCTCAACATCTTAATTAAAATATAGAATATTAATATAATTTATATATTATTTGATTATGGTTTCAATAATATTCCATAATATGTATAATAATATATAGAATATAATATATTAGATTTAGATTTATTAATAGATTTATTAATTTTTATTTTTATATTATTTTAATAATTCAAAATTATTGATGTATTAAATATATTGCAATAATAGAAAAAAGGGACAAAATTTTAAAAAAT